CTTCCTTATTACATATTTAATAATTTGAATTTGGATGCCAGATGTGGATTTTACCTCTGTAATGTGCTGAATACTTTTTGTTTTTCTTTATATATGTAGGGCCTTTGTCCAGGAATGCAGATAAGTTACTTGGAAACAGTTAAATCCTTTCTATTTATTTCTTTAAGCTTCGTTAGGTAGGGGGAATACCCCAGAGCTTATTTTGTAAAGTATTTCTAATTACTCTATTTTACATGCATTAGGAGGTATTTTAAAATTATGATTCTGGCCGTGGGAATAGGAACTGTTCTTTGTTCTACTTGAGCTTTAGAAATTATTCCTTCTAATTGGCCTCAGTAATTTCCTCTCATGGTTGCACTCCTCAGTACTTACCAGAACTCAAGGGAACTCACTGCAAATCTCAGGAAGTCCTCCTTCCTTGTGCACCTCCCCAGTCTGACCTCTCCGGTCTGGCACTCTGTCCAGTGAAACACAGTTAGACACCTGGCTTCCCAGATCACCTGCGCTGGCTCCTTAGACTTCTAGATCCCAACTGAGCTCCTCTTCTCTGTACCTCAGTTCAGAAACTCTCCGGTCAGTAGCCTGGGCCAGTCATAGGACTTACCTCACTTCCTCTCATATTTCAGAGATCACAGTTGAATCATTTTGTGGACTGATTAACAACGTCTTGAAAACAGTGACTTTATGCAATGTGTAAACATTTTGAGTTGTTTCTACATCTTGACTGGAAGCTTACATTCTTACATATTTCAATATAGTGAAGGAAGTTATAAACATTATTTTAAACACTTGGATACTTGCCCTAGCAATATGTTTTGCTCAATATGATATTGTATCCTTATCCCTAAATTCTGTCTTAAGAATATTTTAGTGTTCTCTTCTGTATTGACATCAAAATAATTTGTTTTACCTAAACTGAAATTATCCTATATAATAAAGGTGTGATATGCAAATGGTCATTATGCCACGAAGTGTAACAACCAACCATGTAATGACCAGATCACGGATCAGCAGGAGGGTGGGGCAGTGAGCTACAAGCTGGCAGTGGATAGCTACAGGAAGGGGCAGGGAAGCAAGCTATGAGGGAGAAGTGGGGATGAGGAGGGAACTACAGGAGGGCAGTAGTGAACTACTGGCTACAAGCGGGTGGTAGAGAGCTACAGGAGCATGGCAGCAAGCTATGAAGGGAGAGTAGGGGGAGGGGAAGAGAGCTACTGGTGAGCTACTAGCTCACAGATTTGTGCACAGGGCTACTAGTATATATGTATAAATTACATGCATACATATATATATTATATAACAAAGAGAAATTGTATTGCACCCAAGTAACAAAGAACACAGAGGACCACACAGTAGGCTGACCGTAGGAGACAACCCAGAGCTCATAGCTGGAAAGAGCAGACGTTAACAGGCTAAAGGCCTTTAAGTACTATCACTTGTTCCACATGATTATCCTGGAAAGGCAGAGGTAGGTCAGAAAGCAGGACACATGTTTTTTGTTGTTGTTTTTTTTTGTGATGGCTGCTCTCTAACACCATTTGAACTGTCCATACACAGGAGAGTTTTCTCCTGCCCCTTTGCCATTGGCAGCTGGAAAAACCTTTAGAAAATGACACTTATTATGTCCACACACTTTGTTTTGAAATTAGTACATTTATTTTTATTAAATTATTTTTATTAATCATACTCCAATTTTGATGCTGGATTGACAAGAGGGCATTGCAAAGCTAATTTCAAAGAACTAAGGCAACTAACGAAAACACAGCCAACATTCTAGGTATCTCAGAAACAGGAAGAATGTAGAAGCAGTGGGATCTGCCATACCTGAGAGATAAAAAGAAGCAACAAGAAATCAAAGAATTTTCAGAATATATTGGGCATATCCTAGCAATGAGTTAAAGAAAGGGAAGGGCTTAGGTGATCTGGAGTAGAAACAAGTGGTACCTCAGAGAGGGAAATCTTTGAGATTTTCCTGCTTTAGAACCATCAATAACTGATTTCTCCAGGACTTGTGAACTATAACAGTGAATCAGCTAATAGAATCTGGTATATAATTGTTATAAAACAATTAGAATGAAAAATTATCTTACAGGATATAATTTTTAAAAGAATGCATATGTTTGTTTTCAAATTATATATAGTAAAATTCGCTGTACAGTTCTATGAGTTTTAATGTATGTATAGGTTTCTTTCACCACCAGCACAATGAGTGTACAGAATCCTTCCATCTCCTCCACTCTTTTATGCTTTCCCTTTGTAGTCACACCTTCTTGCAACTTCCAAACTCAAACAGTGTGGCAAATGATAACATGAACAGGCCAAGTCTCAATGGAAGTCAGCATTCCAGAGTCACTTTCCTTCCCTGCACAACATCATGTTTTTTGAAGCTAAAGAATGAAAAGCAGACATTTTCTAGAAATCATTGACTACTCCATGTATACAGAGTACAAATCCTTATAACTTTCTTTAAACAGGATGTTTAAGCCTGGCTGGTATTGCTCAGTGGCTGAGCATCAAACTATGAACCAGGAGATCACAGTTCAATTCCATCAGGGCACATGCCTGGGGTTTAGGCTTGACGTCCAGTGTAGGGTGTGCAGAGGCAACGGATCAGTCATTTCTCTCTCTCATCATTCGTGTTTCTATATTTCCCTCTCGGTTCACCTCTGAAATAAGAGATATACATATATGTATATACCACTATATTATATGCATGTAATATGTACTAAAAGCCCAATGCATAAAATTCATGCAAGAGTAGGCCTTCACAGCTGCAGTAGCTCCTTTGATCCCCGCTAGCTGCCTCGATCCCATGGCTTCAGCCCCGAATCATCCAGAAGGTCGTCCAGAAGGATGTCTGGAAGGCCATTTGGTAAATTTGCATATTATGTTTTTATTATTATAGATAGATAGAAGTTTCAGATGTTGTAAATAATGCAAAAAAATAGTATTTTTTAAAAAGTTAAAATAGAGGAGACGTGGGACTTATGAGAGAAAAATAAACTTGAATGTTTTATAATAGCAATTCCATTTAAAGTTATTTAATCCAACCCAATAGCATATTTATAACTAGGTAAATGTACAAATAACTACTCTATGGTCTAAAACAGTGGCTGAAAACCTTCCAGGACTAGTGAACATCTCTGAAAATTTAAGTGCTATTATACTTCACAATAGTTTTAGACCTATTCTTCAAAGTTCTATGTAAACATACAATATTAATATTTTTCTGCTAATCTATTCTATACTTTGCACTAGCAAAGTTGATGTATCATAAAACATAAACGTCAATATTTGTCAGTTCTTACATATCCTCCAGCATATGCGGTGCATTTTATGGAAAAGAAAATTGTGATAAAAATAAATAATTTTTTAGGTTAATAACAGTAACAGGACAACCATGGGGCATGTGACTCTCCATTTGGAAGTGTTTCTATTCTCACAAATATTTTTCTTGTACAGATAATTTCTATAAAAGCGTTTACTTTCATTATAGTTCTCTAAGGGTTAAAATATTCATTGTAATAATAAAGAACAGGCGTAATGTTCTTATAACTTCATTTATAATAATCAAATGAAAAGAATTGCATTTTGATTAAAATGTTATTTTTTCCATAATTACAGGGAGAGAAAATGAGATACAGAAAGTTAAATTTCAATGCACTTAAAATGCAGAGTTCATATGTAAAAAAAGTCCATCCTATTATAACACTAGTAATTATTGTGTTACTTTAGAGACAGCATGTCAGACATCATGCCCCTTGCACCTGAATTCATAAGGGGAGAAACTTGATTTATTGTGATTAATTAGTAAGATACATATCAGCTTCTCTTCTCACTATCAATGGCGATAATGCAGCATTAATGCTGACCTGACTGCCATCTTGGGATATTTAATTATAATCATACTGGTAAATGACAGTCTGGTCATACTGTTTGTTATATGTTAAAAACAAATCTATTAATGTAACTAATTTGGGGAATATCAGCTTGTCATATTAAATTGAAAATCATAAAAGTGTGCATTAAATCAAAATTTATGCTGTACTTGGAAATGTAGCTTCTCTTATGGATGTTATTGATTTGTTTATTGCAAACAGTGCATTTCAGTAACAGTTTCAACAAGTATGAAATGTGCAGCACACACAGTTTTTGTAATGTAATTAGTTAGAAATTGGGGAAGCTTAATTTCAAATTGAATTGTTCATGAAAATCTATTTCTACTCTCTATGGCTTGAGCAGTTTCTCTTTATAAAACGGTCTATAGTTGTTTAAAGAAATTAAATGCAGTTAATCAGAAAGAACATTATGGTTTGACACCTAATTTGAAAGCCCTGTCTTGAAGCAGTGAAGGATTGCTTATAGAATTACATACACTGATGAGAACCCAAATAGCAAATCCATTCATGCACCAAGTAGATCTCACCACTACTATAAGCCAGGGTAGTATATTCTGTCTTTTTGTGAACAATAATTATATATATATATATATATATATATATAATTATTCATATATATATAGTTTACTTTGATAGATTCAAAGTAATATAAAAGCATTAGAGTGAATTATCTAATTAGTCTACATCAGAAAGTAGATCTGTGATCTTAAAGTCATTAGAGATTAAGTCAGCCTGTTGATATAAGTACAGATATTGACTACCAAGTTTTAAATTTCAGGCCCATCCCCTGTGGCTCAGCGATTGAATGTCAACCCAGGAACCGAGAGATCACTGGTTCGATTCCCAGTCAGGTCACATGCCTGGGTAGCAGACTTGATCCCCAGTGGCGGCCATGTGGGAGGCAGCTAATTGATGATGTTCCTCTTTCATTGATGTTTTATATCTCTGTCACTCTCCCTTCCCCTCTCTCTAAAAATCAATAAAAACATTTAAAAATGTTTTACAGCTTAGTATAAACAACAGCAGAAGTGGTGGTAAAAATGATTCAAGGGTATTGCTGAAATGTTCTTCATCTCTCTATCTATGTTAATCCGTTTTCAGTGCCACCAGCCATCACGATGCCTCAGAAAGCCTTCAATGCCACAGCAGAGAGAGGAGAGGAGATGACATTATCCTGCAGGGCCTCTGGCTCTCCGGAGCCCACCATCTCTTGGTACAGGTAGGCTGTGTGCCCACATCCCCTCTGATCTGTGCCCTTAATCACACTTATGAAAAAAGAGTTGTGACCTTTTCATTACATCTGGAAGGAAAGCATTGCTTTTGGATTTTATTTAAAAGGCTATTATGCTTTTGTGTTCATTTACATTGGGTAGATTCAATTGTTAGAGATCAGCAGTGACTTAACTCAAGTCAAAGGTCTACCCATAGAGCTTAACATTCTGTCTATAAGGCATGTTTCTTTTTTTAATTCATTTATTTTTTTACATTTCACACTTCATGTGTTTGCATTGCATTTTTTACCCTTTACTTTTAATTTTTTTTTCAATTACAGTTGACATTATTTTATATTAGTTTCAGGTGTATTTAGCATAGTGTTAGACAGTTATATAATTTACAATGTAATTTCCTCGATAATTCAAGTATCCACTTGGCACTGCATAACTTATTACAATATGATTGACATTGTCTATGCTGAGTTTAACATTTCCATGATTATTTCTCAGTCCTTTCACCTTTTCATTCATTCCCACCACCTACCTTTGGGCATCCATCAGTTTGTGTTTTGCCTGTATCAGTATGTTTTTATTTATTTGTTTGTTTCTTTGATTTCCACTAAATTCTTCAAGATCCTTCCACTTCAAAGCTCAAATCATGACTTTCTCCCCTTGAAAATTCTCAGAATATATTAGCCACCTTCTTTTCTCTTCTCCCCTACTATCAAAGATTTCTTCTCATTCTCCATAAAAACAAAACCCAAAAAGTTATTAAGTTACTAATGGGATCCATATACCCTCTATTACTGTCAGTCATATCAATTTTTCATGATAAGTGCTCATGTCTCATTCATTTGCTACATTTCAAATATTTAGTAAAATATTCACATGAGGTAGAGAATCAACTGTCCTTATCAGAAGAACACTGGAAGTTAGTTGATCTGTTCCTTATATTACTGTTTGAATTGAGGGATTTGGAAATCATACTAAAAATTTTAGTTGCCATCTGGGAATGAGGGCAGAGAGGGGCTTCTTGAGAGAATTCATAGAGGTAAATAATATAGGCAAAATTGTATAAACCACAAGTTATTGTAACTTCTAGTATATTATTATTTTATCAGTAGTGATAGTATTAAACAAAATCAATATTTTCCACTGAATAGACTGAGAAATAGATTGTATCACCAACTGCACTGAAAGATCTCTTTATACATGAAATTCTAAAGAAAAATGCTGAAATGTCATTTTTAATAAATGTAAATATGGGGTGAGCAAAAATATTTTTCAGTTAAAAGTACAGAGTGCTATATATATATTTGCTATTAGTAGTTTATAAACTCTACTTTTGCACTCTACCCTTATGACATTTTTGCACATTTCATGATATTTTTAGAGATACCCATAGAAACTGAACAAGCAGATGTTTTTGAGTTATAGAAGGATAAGGACTGTGTGAAGATATGAAACAGTGCTTTCTAGAAAGCAAAGCCAAAGTTCACTGGAGAGATCATTAGGTTATCAGATAAATGTTCTGTTTCGATAGAGAAAATACTTTGAGATCCTTTGAGATTTTTCTTTTTTAAATTTATATTTGTACAGACAAGTAAGTCTTCCCACCCCTAAGAACAGATGCTAAACTTTTTACATCAGTGGACATTAAAATCTATTCAGTTACCTAGAGCACCATTATAAGAAACATGTACATGGAGAGCTGGAAGAAAGAACTAGAGGGAGAGTAAATGACAATAAATAGAATGAAAAAAATATACAATTATACGAAGGTATTGTGCATATTAAGGGGAATTGTAGAAATTGTTTCAGATTTAAAGATATTTAAAATATTTCTTACTATAAATTGTTATTTAAAAAAAAGTGTGAAAGACATGGTCTTAGTGGACCACAAAGGCTAGCATTAGGGCAGAATGCATATGGCTTCAGTCCAGAAAGAATATGGAAACTGTTAAATATTTAAATATAAGAAGGAAAATATTTTTAAAAATGATTTCTCCTCATTAGAGAATTAAATTATTATATTCAGCATAATTTATCTAACTTCATTTTCATGTAATCATTTCATCATACCCTTTTATTGGCAGTACATGTTTTCAAAATAAATCCATTGCATATTTATATTGCATTTACTTTGAAACTTACTTAAAGTAGATTTCCATAGAAATTCTATTAAATGTGTCTCAGGAGCCTAGTGAATAAAGTTTTAATTAATATGTGTTGACTCACCAACATAAAAAATGTATATAGACTTAAAATCACCAAATAAACTTTTTTTTTGTTAATTAATCAAAGTATATATTGAACCAATGTGCTGTTTTGCCTAAGATTGGTATTAATATTTCAACGTAACTCAAATATTATTCTTGCCTATAAAGTCAAAACTATTTTAAAGTATAACTTTAATACATTAAGTTTTTCTGGGCTACTAGAAGTATACTTTAGATTGGATTATAGCCTTGTCTATCAAGAGCTATGAAATTACTATCAATTACAGATAAAAAAATTGAGTATGCTGCTCGGCTGGCAATCAATAGGTTGATTGTCAACCTATGAACCAGGAGGTCAGGTTCAATTCCTGTTAGGGCACATGCCTGGGTTGCAAGTTTGATCCCCAGTGTAGGGCATGTAAGAGGCAGAGGATCAATGATTCTCTCTCATCACTGATGTTTCTATCTCTCTCTCCCTCTCCATTCTTCTCTGAAATCAATAAAAGTATATATTTTTAAAAAGTTAAATATGATAGTCTCCTGAGTTGTGAAGCCTGATTTATGAAGATCTACCTCTTTTCTTTTCTTTAGAAATGGCAAGTTCATTGAAGAAAGTGAAAAGTATATACTGAAAGGAAGCAATACAGAACTCACTATCAGAAACATAATCAATAGTGATGGAGGCCTTTATGTCTGTAGGGCCACAAATAAGGCAGGAGAAGATGAAAAACAGGCATTCCTACAAGTCTTTGGTAAGTATTATAGCACTAGTGGCCCTGTGCATGAAATTTGTGCAGGTATCCCTCAGCCCAGCCTGCATGACTTCAATATGGGACCCCTTGGGGATGTCTGACAACCAGTTTAGGACTGACTCCTTAGGCAGTCAAGCATTCCTCCTGCAATCCATCCGGGTCCACTGGCACCTAACCTCTCACCTGACTGACTGCCCGATCACCCCTAGCCACTCTGCCTGTCAGCCTACTCTCCCCCAACTGCCTCCCCACTGTCAGCCTAATTCGCTTCCAAATGCCCTCCCCTGCCGGCCTCATGGCCCCCACTGCCCTCCCTGGATGGTGTCCTGGTCTAATTAACTTTTACCCTTTTATTAGTATAGATAGTGATTAAAACTGTTATATCTAGAGGAGGGCTGGCTCACTTTTACTCTGTCACTTTTATGAACTGTTTAACTTTCCAAAATGAAATCCCCATTTTCTCATCTCTAAAATATATTTTAAAATTGCAGCTACCAGATATAATTGTCTTAAGAATTACATGAAATTATACATGTAAGTTTTTGTGAAATATTGGCTGACTCATACAGAGGCTTGAAGAAAATTCACGTAAATTACACTACTGGGATCTCTTATATAGATATACTAGAGTCCTGTTGCATGAAATTCATGCACAGGAGCAGGTGTTTCTCAGCTCTGCCTGCACCCTCTCCAGTCTGGGATACCTCTCACAATCCAGGACTGCTGGCTCCCAAAGGTTCACCTGCCTGCCTGCCTGATCACCCCCTAACTCTCCCCTGCCAGACTGATTGATGCCTAACTGTTCCCCAGCTGGTCTGATTGCCCTTTACTGCCCTCCCCTGCTGGCCTGGTCCCCATAACTCCCCTTCAGGCCTGGTTTCCCCCATCTGCCCTCCTCTGCTGGCCATCTTGTGGCAGCCATCTTGTGTCCACATGGGTGCAGCCATCTTTGACTACATGGTGTTGGCCATCTTGTGTTTTGGAGTGACAGTCAATTTGCATTTTACACTTTAATTAGGATGTGTTGCTTTTCATAAACCTTTAAATGAAATATGTTGGGATCAGCTGTACTTTCATTATACTTCAAAAGAGCACACCTATGAGGCCATAAATAGGCCACATTGACATGCAACTGTAATTAAATATTTCCATTTCATTTTACTAAAAAGAATTATAATATAAATATCTTCCATAATTACTAAAAGCTGTATTACCTTATGTGTCAATCTTATAGAGAGTCAAGAACTAGTATGTTTTTAAAAAATTATTTGTTTGGCTTTCATTATGTTTTCAAGAAGAAAAACAGTTGTGCTGGTGAATATTTGGAATATGAGTGTTCTCTTTTAAAAAGCATAGCACTAAAAATCATATGCAGTACTAACATTTGGTATATTTTCTCCACTTTTAAAAACACTGCTGACAAAATGCTTTCACAACTGAGTCTGGGAAGGAAGGAGGGAGAACTCTGTATGAGTAAGAAGGCCCATGTTTGCAGTAGGCAGATTCAGGGACTATGGGTACAGAGCAAAAGTTGAATGGTAATACACCTGGATACTTTCTCTGCCAACTGATCCTGTAATCACATAATAGGAATATTTTCTGAGCCAAAGACATTTTCATAAATTTTCATTATATTCTGGCAGATGAGTCAGACAAAGACTAGACCAAAATACATTGAAATAATAAAATAAAATTGGAATAACAAAATATTCAAAAAAAAGAACGTGAAAATGGGCATACCAGATGGTGTTGGGTATAGAGGGCTATTATTTTGGATAGCTTGGTGTTGGAAAGTTACTAAGAAGGTAATGATGAAATGTACCTACACAAAAATATTTAGCGATGAGATGTCAGCAAAGCCGAGTCAGGCGAAAATTGTTCACACAGAGGGAAGAGTAAAGAAACTTAAATTTATTAGAAATTACAGAAAGCCCATAATTTGTTTCAGCAGTTTTTCATTTTAAAAAAAATGGTTCCCTTTAAAACCTAAAACATTAAATAAATCTGACTCAGCATAAAAATTAATTACTTAGAAATGATGGTGTTTGAGTTCATTGCAGAGGGTTATGTTCTCCAGCTACCTCAAGGGGTTCATATCAAATACTGTTTATTTACTTGTTACTTATTGGGGTGGCAGTGAGAACAGATATAAAAATTTATAATATTTTAATGTTATCAAATAGAAAATAATACATTCTATATGCTACATCACTGTTGTAATCACTTTTGTATGATAATACTGAAAAGTATTGTGTTTGACACAAAGTAATGTATACATACTGGAAATGTAACTAAATGTATTAGTAAATGAAATAAACACTTAATTATTAAAAATTATATATGCTATATTTCTGATATCAGGAATCTAATTTTCTAATATTAAGAACTACTTATTAATTTCCATGAGTAATTGCACTTAAATTTTTAAAAAATATCTGTTACTTATCTTTAAATAAAAAGTGCATTATGTTTTAACAAGTAAAATTTAATACATGAAGATAATGCCGAGTTTACAAACATGAAGCTCTGTGGTATTATATAAATTTGTGGATGGACATAATTTTTAATACTAAGATATTTTAAATTAATAGACATAATATTTTGTTTTTAAAGAAGGCATAATTATAAAAAATAGTTACAGTTCTAAGTAATATTGTTAAGGTAAATTGAGGTAAAAACAAATCAACTAGGATGATATAAATAAATAGTATTTTTGTATCTTTATTCATAAATATTTTAGATATTGTGCTAATTATACCTAACTACCTATTCAGGATACAGTCGTCATTTTTTTCTCTTTGGCGATACTGTTTTAAAACCTTAGGAGATAATATCTCACTGAGTGGATGCCATGCTATCCCCCACATCCCCCCCCCCACACACAGACACAAACACACACATTCTTAAATATACATGTGGCTTTAAAAGATAAAATTTTAATTTGTGGTTTAAGAGAAAATACATAAAGAAGTGACTCTTAAAATGGCATAACGTTGGAAGAAATTATAATGTGTATGTTGGTGTCTAACCCACTTCAAATCTTATATGATAAAAGGGTAATATGCAAATTGACCAAAAGGTAGAATGACCAGCCCAGCAGTGCTAAGGATGTCTGCCTGTGGCTTAGGTCGGGGAGAGCAGGCCTAAGCCACCAGTGGAACATCTCCTGAGCCTCCGAGCGCAGGCCGGGCTGAGGGACCCCTCCCCCTCCTACAAGTTCATAAATGTCATGCACCAGGCCTCTGTTAGTTTATAATGATCACTGATGAAAACTATTTTTAGAAAATTGTTCACCTGTTCCTTGCAACTCTGTTGGCCCCACTTCAAAGCAAAGCATGCTGCCATGCCAGCTACAATGCTCACAATGCCACACCTCACTGCTGTGGACTCAAATGCCCATCGTGGCTTTTAGGTCTACAGAGAAACATTTTCCTCCAATACAGATGGAGTAATGCATGTATTCTTTACAGTACAGCCTCACATAATACAGCTGAAAAATGAAACTACGTATGAGAATGGCCAAGTCACCCTCATCTGCGAAGCCGAAGGGGAGCCTGTTCCAGAGATCACTTGGAAAAGAGCCCTGGATGGAATCACCTTCTCCGAAGGCGATAAGGTAACAGGAACTCAATGCATGGTGGTTTCCAATGTCATTGCTTTGCGTTTTATTAAATCTCATATTGGATTCCAGTTGACCAAGTAAGAAATGCAATAAGGGTTTATTTTAAAAAAAAATAATTCTAGCCCTGGCTGGTTTGGCTCAGTGGATCAGAGCATCAGCCTGCGGACTGAAAGATTCCAGCTTCAATTCTGGTCAAGGGCATGTACCTTGGTTGCAGGCACATCCCCAGTAGGGGGTGTGCAAGAGGCAGCTGGTCGATGATTCTCTCTCATCGACTTTTCTAACTCTCTTTCCCTCTCTTTTCCTCTCTGTAAAAAATCAATAAAATATATACTTAAAAAAATGTAACTCTACCACAATCAACCTAAAATTAAATTTAGAGGAGAAAAAGACAAATGAAATACTTAAAGGTATTTGTTATTAAGCCACACAATCTTGGGTTGTTGGAATTCTTCAGTTTCCTAAATTGGCTTTTGATGTATACTGAATGTATAAAATATCTTATGGCAATTTTATACCTTTCACCCAGTGCTGTGAAAATGAAAGTAATTCAAATGAACAAAAATCTGTCATTTCACTCTTTAAGTTTTGAGCTGTCTTTGTGCAGTACAAAAGTTGGTTTTGCTTTCATATAATATTGATTCCAATAAGATAAATGAGTATAAATGTAAATTCTGACTTTTCATCAAAATGCATATATATTATGTAAAAATCAATTAAACATCATTATATAGTTCACTAAAATCCATGGATTTTCATTATTGTCATTTTAAACAACTGATATAAATTTCCACGTTTAAGCAGAAGACAAACAGAAAGAAAAAGGTAGTAAATGAAAGGATTTTCACACAAGTAAAAAATGTAACAGTACGTTGATAGATGGGTTTTATTTTCTGTGTTAAAGGCAAATGTCCTTTCAGTGACTTTCATTAAGTTAAATTAAATTCTGCAAAAGTCAGTGATTTCTAAACTACTCCCTATCCATTTATAATTTATCTTCTGAAAGAATGTGTTCGCAAATACATTACTGTTCTTCTTTCCCAATTTCTCTTCACGATGGCATATTTAAAAGAGTATCTTTTTGGAAATGTACAAATATTTTATATATACAAATTGAAAATTTTAAAAAAAAATTCCCAGGTAAACAATATAGTTTGGTTTAATATTTTTCTTAAGAGAAAATCATATATATTTCCATGGCACAGTTGGCAAGTTTGAAAGGTGTTATAGTTCCATAAAAATGTTTAAAATAGTCAAAAAGCAATTAGACATAGAAAACTGTAGGCTATTGCTTTCATGTCGATTTAGTACATTTCTGTAGACGAGATTATTCAAGTATGATTTTCATGTCTATAAGCCCTTATTAATTATTTCTAACTCAATGTTTCATTATTTTCCTGTCTACTATAAAATCCATAAAATTTTTCTTCTCTAAGATGGCTTTTACTCCTTATTTAAAAGATGCTTCTTGAGGTTTGATATTCTGATTGATGTTTCTCTGTCCTGGGTCTATTTTTGTTTTCAGTTTATGTTGTTCATTATATTCCATAAATGAGTGAGATCATGTGATGTTTATCTTTCTCTGCCTGGCTTATTTCACTTAGCATAATGCTCTCCAGGTCCTCAGGAAAGGCAGGGGAGGGTGGGGATTAGGGGGAGAGATCAACCAAAGGATTGATCTAAAAATGTATTCATATAAAAATCAATGGACACAGACAATATGGAGATAAGGGCATGCATGAGGGGGTGAGGGGTATTGGGGAAATAAGGATACTATGCAATACCTTAATCAGTAAAGAAATAAAAAATAAAATATGATTCTTTATTATATACCAAAAACAAGAGATACATTGTACTCTGTTATTTTATCAGTATAAATTAATCAAGTAACTGAGAGCTTGATATTTTATTCTATACTCTACACCCCAGGCTTCTCAAAACTATTTACAGAAATCACTTCTGTAGTAATTGTGAAAAATGATTAACTAGTTTTTATTTGCCAAGGATTATATCTATTAAAGTAGACATCTTTTTTATTTTTATTTAGTATATTTGTTATAAAACAATTATAGAAACACATATATGTTTTTATTTTTCTAAATAAAAACTTTTATCCAGTGGATAAAAAAAAGTTAAGACTGCTGTATTTATTTTCTATCATGATATTTCTCCCAAATTATTTTAATATTCCCATTTTATTTTCTGGATTGTAAGCCTTTTATTCTCTTAACATTATCAATTTTGTCAACAGCCAAAATTCAGAAATTGAATAGTTGAGTTGAGCTTTAAAGGAAGACAAACCTAGTTTTGAATCTCAACTCTGCCATTTATAATGCTTCAACTTTGGCAATGTTATCCAAACTCTTTTTTTTAAATTTAAGTTTCTAAGTCATTACTAACCTGACAATATATTTAGCTTCAGTAACTCTTGTACATACACCACAACAAGCACCCCAACCACTGATCTGCTTTGCAACACAAGGCCATGAATTCTTTTTAAGATGAGTTCTTCCATCTTTAAAATTGGGATAATAATACTTATTTTCCTTGTATAGGAATGGGAAAGTATGCTTTGTAAAATGCATATCGATCTCTTTAACATATTGTAATATTCAATCAACTTTACTTTTCCATATCATGTTACATAATTTTTGAAGTATAGTTTATCTTGTGTGGGTTTTTTTTTTATTCTGAATAAACTCTAGTTGTCAGTAGACTCCATTAAGTCTGATACCTAAAGTCTGTCTATACTTCAACTATCATCGAGTATATTGAGATCATATATCTGTTGTCTTGAAAGTTACATGAGGTATCTGCCTTAAGAATCACCTGGCGGTTGAACAAAAAGATATATACAGAGACACTAACGTATCAAACAGAATGTCAAATTACAGTGGGAAGGTTAGGAAGAGGTGAGGGAGATAAGAGATCAACCGAAGGACTTGTATGCATGCATATAAGCATACCCAATGGATGCAAAACTCTGGGGGATGCGGGCATGTATGGGAGTGGAGTGGGGGGACAGGCAATGGTAATATATAATACCTTAATAAAAAATGAGATAAAAAAGAAAAAGAAAAAGAATCACCTGAAGAGCCTGTTAGAATGCAAATTCTGGAATCCCACACCCAGAGGTTTATGTCATAAGTCCAGAACAGGAACTAGGGGTGCATGCTTCATGAACTCATCAGCTGGCATGATGGGGATTGTCTTCAGGCCATACTTTAGAAAACAATTCTCTTACTTTAAGTCAAATGAAATTTAACAACTGCTCCTTTCAAAAGGAAAATGCTCTTGCCAGAATACTGGGCACCTGGTAGGGGCCTGAGAAATACAGAACAACAGAAAATAAAACTTCTGGTCGAAGCCGGTTTGGCTCAGTGGTAGAGCGTAGGTCTGCGGACTGAAAGGTCCCGGGTTCGATTCCGCTCAAGGGCATGTACATTTGTTGCGGGCACATCCCCGGTGGGGGGTGTGCAGGAGGCGGCTGGTCGATGTTTCTCTCTCATCAACGTTTCTAGCTCTCTATCCTTCTCCCTTCCTCTCTGTAAAAAATCAATAAAATATATTTTTTAAAAAGAAAATAAAACTTCTGATCATACATATAGTGTTAAAGTTTTGATAAAAGTTGTTAAATGTGTAAGTCATGGTCAGTGAAATATCATCCATATAATATGGTTCAAAATAATGATTGTATCCCATAATATGACTATATTTAGCCAATTTTTTCAACATTGTATTTGAAGCAGAGGGTCTCAATGAAGAGTATCGCTTTTCCTTGACTAAATTCTCAATCACAAGATAAGAAGAAAGAAATATATAAGGATAAAATATCATGTGGCATGTCCTTATACTAAACTAGAGGCTTGCTGCACGAAATTCATGCACAGATAGAGTCCCTGTGTCTGGCCAGCAATCAGTGCTGATCTGTGGAGCACCCAGCAGGATGGTTGGGGTCCCCCTATAGGTACCTGTTCTGGCTGGCCTAGTGCCTGTGGGCTGGGGGTGGCTCCTGTGTTGAGCATCTGCTCCCTGGTGGTCAGTGAGCATCATAGTAACCAGTCATTCCCCCTGTTGTCCTGTTGTTAGGTTGATTTGCATATTATACTTTTATTACCTATATAGGATTCCAGAATTAGATAGACTTCACTGGAAATGAAAAAGGGAGTGCCTAGGAAAAGTGCATCCAACATGATGTCCTCACTGTTAGCAATCAGACATCTCCCTCATTCCCACAAGGAGAAGTAAGTAAAGGGTTGGAAAGTCCAGACGTGGAATGTTGGCAGAGCTCCTCTTCCATTGCATATGTATTAGGAGCCCATTACAAATGTTCACTTCCCAACAAACCTGATGCTTACAACTTTTTTTTTCTTTTCATTTCTGAGTTGGAGGGAGAGAGGGAGAGGAGATAGAAACATCAATGACAATAGAGAATCACTGATCGGCTGCCTCCTGCACAGCCCCCAATGGGCTCAAGCCACCAACCCAGGCATGTGCCCTGACCAGGAATTGAACTATGACCTCCTGATTCATAGGTTGATGTCCAACCACCAAGCCACTCCAGTGGGGTGATACTTATATCATTAATGAGCACTGTATTTGTATTGTCTGAACATATCTTCTGGAATCTTGCCTCATAATAAATGACCCCAAAACATAGTGACATAAAACAACCTTTTATTTCCATTGTGATTTTTGTGGATCAGGAATTGGGGAAGGCTCAGCTGAGTGGCTACCACCAGGAGTCTCAAATGTTCTCACATGTAGATGTTTTCTGTAGCTGCAGTTTTGAAGTAGGACTGAACTATGTGTTTTAACATATCAGAAAATATCCTTGTGTAATATACCTCTCAGAAACAACAAAAATATGGTGCTGAGATCTTTTAAACTAATAAAATATTTTATCTCTAATCTATTTACCTCCATTTAAAATATGTAATTTTTAAAACTTAAAAAAAAGTTTTCAAAAACATGTAATGTGTAAGAAAAATAGA